AAGAAATGCCATTATACCATCAGTAGTTTTAAGTGGCGATGAAAATAATTTATTGGTATTCTAGTTGCCAATTGTGTTACATTAGACTCTAGACTCCAAGAAGCCCGCCAGCAGACATAGTGGTAGAAGCTGTGGCCTACCAAGAACTGCTGGTTGTTTGGAAAGAAGGCATGATGACAGCCGTTGAGCCATCCAGACTATGCAGTGGACGACGTACCCCTGAGCGTTCGGCACTTTCCTACTTATAAAAGCCCTACCTAAGATAATATCAGCTGAGGGGCAGTCGAGATCAGAGAGCTTCGCAACCTTAGCAAATGCAAATCTACATGCCATGCCAACTCTGTTCGTATGATAAAATCAACGCGGCCATAAAAAGGGCTTTGTATGGACGTCTTCCAAGGGTATCTCTGGAATTTTTAAAACATTTTTTCCAGTTCAACAACCGCCTAAAAGTTAATTTCATACATGATAATTTGTGTCGGCTTCCTTATCGTAGCAGCAGGCTTATTTGCAGTAGGAATAGGAAAAAAATCCCATTAGATCCAAACCACATGCAGCAAATGGAGAGCCTGAGTACCAGGCCAGGCATATATGCAGGAGAAAACAAATTTCACTGTAGCTTATCAAAGAAACTGACGTTTGTTTTAAAATTGTGCACATCTAACCTGCGCAAGGATACTTTAAAACAATAAAAAGAACAGTGTAGGTTTTATTAAATCGCCATGGCGATCATCAGAGCGAAAAAGAGTTTATAAAAACTTATCAAAGCAGCATGCATGACTGAGCAAGGATAATATGCGTAGACGGCTAATATACACGCAGCGCAGCTACAAATCCCAGTATACAGTCCATAAAATTAGCACATTAATCTGGCAGAAAATCGTTTGGAAGCGAGGTGAAAATGTGTGTTTGCTGTAAAAATGGCGGTCGAGTAACAAAATTACTGGGGGTTAACATACACTGGAACAGAGAGACTGGGGCAACTTTGCAATTTATTAATGTATATCCTGTCGGTAAAATCAATCAATTTATCCTTGTCCTTTTCACCCCTTTCGATGGATCTCAAGAGACCTACAAGCAGAAAGAATGTTTAGAGGCTTTTGACAGATAATATTGTTCTGCGGCGCTAAGGCAACTCAAGTTTATACAAAATACAACCATTAGACACCTGAATTCGTGCATATGATTCTGCTGACAGACACGTGTGGTTGTTTCCTCCATTCAAGAAAGGGAGAAAGGCGACTCAAATTAAAGATTTATCAATCGTAAATTGGCTAGCTTACTGTACCAAATTCTCATCACTCACAATCAGAAAGGTCCCTCATTGTCCTCTGGAGGAGTCAACATTCCGGGCATGTTTTCTTCCCCCAAAAGACCACGCTTATCCTCCGCTTTCCTTTTGCTTCGAAGTGACATCTGCTGCAGCACACTGGTCATCATCCCTGGTTTCGGGGAGGCTCTTACAGATGCCTCAGTGAATGTGGAGTTCATGTCAACCAAGGTGGCGGTAGGAGGTCGGCTGAAGGAGATGGTTGCAATGCCCTCGTTAGCCAGCCCGTCACCGTTGGAGATGTGGTGAAAGACGTTTGCTTTACGGGGCCATCGCATGAGGCGTTTGCAGTCGATGGGACAAATACTCGTATGTCGACGCGTATGACAGTCCCGAAAGCGCCAACGTAGGAGGAAAAGGACGAATAGGACGGCTACTGTCAGCGCTACGAAGATGCCGACAACCTTCGATCCGACAGACAGCTGAAGCGGAGAGTAATAGAGCACGTCAAGATAGTCAAACTGTACAAATGAATGTCTGTGTGTGACTAAAACAATCAGCGATACAGTAGGTTCAATCCTCAACAGGCCATAGGCTCATAGTTTGTTTGCTATAATTGGAAGTATTTGCATGCATGTGGCAACGACGATCAACGACAGCCCGACAGAGTAAACTAATCTCAGTTCCTATAAGCCCCACCATTAACGGGAGCATATCGAAGTTCACATAAGAATCGAGAGTTGTTTACGGACAAAATGTGGTGAATAGTAAACCCATTCCTGTTTCAGTCGTTATCATCCTTAATTACATGCGTCCGGAAGCTAGAAGTCGAACACGATAGTAAAGTTAGAATTCCCGTGCCCAAGGACTGAGAAGGTCTAAAGCTCATGTAAATAACTAAACCTTGAGTCAGAGTACCACTGGAACACCGCTGAACTTACAGACTGCACGACCTGTCTCCAAGTACAGGATTCCCGGTCGGCAGATTGTACAATGTCGATGACAAATGAACCAAAATTTGTAATTTTGATGTTCGTACATCTTTAATCTACAAAAGGACGATAAGACTTACATTTATTCTTCTAATTTATAGCTATGTTTACGTCTACGAAACTTGGGGATGTTCAAGAAAATTTCGCTTTTCTTAACAGACAATTAGTACTTCTCATATTTATTTTAAGTAACAAATTTGCCTAAGGCTGTTCATTATTATTTCTAAGTTTTCGTACATGCGTTAATGCCAGATTGCAAAGACTTATCAAGATTTTGCAAACTTCGGCATGTTGCTTGTATTCTGAACCGTACTGTAATTATTATATCAGTCCAAAAATAGTGTACTGAGCTTTGTAATCTTGCTTATTTTCCACAGACGCGCGGTGTGAAGGAATCCATTATGCCGTAGCAACAAATTTCTTCAGAACTGCAGTTGTTTTATACTGCTGAGCAGAAAGACATAATGGACTGTGTCTAGCACCGATTCACTAATTCCTCCCCGAAAAAGAGGATGCAAATTGTGAACTTTGTAAATAATAATAAAACGAGTCTTCCTTTTGATTTTTTGATAAGAATTGCTGATATGCCCCAGCCCTCCCAACAGGACACTACATAGGAACGGCCACCCACGTCATATAAAGCCGGACGTGAGCAAAATTTTGGGAATGGAAAATATTACTACTCTCTTACCTTAACACTAAACCTAAAAATATATAAGTGAATCCCTATCAATAAATTGTTTTATTTAGCACCGATAAGGGTGCGTTGACCAAAACATAACGTTATTTCTAATTTCTTTGGAATAAAGCGCAAAGGTATCAGCATTACGTAGGGGTTTATTTTTCAATGTTCTGCTTGGGGAGCCATATAAATGACTTTTACCGATGTTTCCGGCAACAATTTTCTCAATGCGACAGATCTAAGTAAAAACTGCCTCCTACCCCTGGTACTAGGATCGTTTTCATGGCAGTCGGAACGTATATTTATCTTTAGGCGTACCTGCTTTTAAGCAGAACCAATAGCGGAAATTACAGTCACAGAGGTGGTAAGCTTGGAAATTCTAACGAGTTTATCATTTTCTTTTTAGGAGTAGTTCAAAATAACTTACATCCTTCCGTATACACATCATTACGGAAAATGCAAAGACTTATGATGTAAATTGCCCGAATACAAACCAGAATGCAATGTAGGACACAAAATAACAATCGACTTTATATATTTTAGGTACTCCTTGATAACTGTTTACTTACACATGGAATTGGAGACAGGTGTGCATTTAAGCAATACACATAGTACACGCCTAATAAATACAGTGCTAAGTCTTGCCGCGACAGCGGCTGTTAAATATGGAAGACTCGAGCACTGATTCACAGCACTGACTCGCAATTTGCCAAAAATGTACGTGATAAATGAATGCGATCATATCATTATTCATAATGGAATCAAATAAGTGTATTAAGAATTCATAAAAGTGTATAGTTTAAATTTCTAATGCTACTCTTCAGTGCATCTGCATGCGTACAGAAAATCTGCTAGTCTTAGAAACCTCTGTTACGACGGATTTACTCCAAGTTAGTGTATTAACCTCCGGGAAATCAAAATAGACAGCATAAGCAGAACAGTCAATACTGCAAGACTGTGTCCAGATTACCCGCCTTATCTTCTAGCCTGCCCCGACATTTTTTCTCACGTCGTATCTCACTTTATACGCCGACTGACGCATGATACCTCCCATTGAACGTTTTTAGAGAATTTGCGGTATGTATTAGGTGGACAAGTGATAACACTGCAAGTTACATTCCAATTAACGGTCTGCCTTTTATGCAGGATATGCACTACTACTTAAGACAGATGGCCGCTAATGGAAGTTAAGAAGCATGTTCTTGCAAGTAGTTGCAAAAAAAGGCATGATTGCTAGAACAAGGGCTTTATTCGCCGGATGTTTCGGATTCTCACTCGAATCCATCATTAGAGGCAAAGTTAGGATTACAATCGGCAGTTCCTGAGGGCATCATTGTAGTTGCAAGTGGTGCGAGGTTTGCCTCACGGGCCAATTATAACGATATGTAGTTGTCATACCATGACTATGCGTCTGCATGTCCCATCGATACGTGGCCTCTTCTCTTTACTGCCAACTGCTGTTCATTTCTGCCTGTGGAGGCGATTTTACAGTTTGCCCTCGACAAACTGCACTTTGGGCATCGCATTAAATTTGGTATACACTGCTTCCCTATCCACTTAGCCCAAGCTGTACTTAGAATGCGAGTGCGGAGTGAAGGGGCCTTATTTAATACTTTAGAAGTAATTGTTGACGAATTCAGACTCATTTTGCTAAGCCCTTTAAATGGGACACGGGATTAGGAAGGAGGAACGGTGGGGCTTTCTTTGGAGGCCGCTTACGTCTGCGATTGATGATAAAAGATTCTTCCACCTTGTCATTAGGTCGAACTTCTGTCAATGCAAAAAAGTTCCTTGGTTGTGTTAACCAATAGGAGCTATTCTAATATTGGTATTGACCTAAAGGTATGCTTTGCTAACCAATAAGAGTTTATGTTGGCCGATTTCATTCTTTTCGTTCACTAAAACAATCAAAAGTGGTTTTAATTTCTTTCCAACTGTGTACTTATCACACATTAAGCACGCATTACCTAAACTTTAATCAAGCATTTGACGGTTAACCCCGATTTCCAGAAGAAATTCGGGCGGGGGAACGTTTGCCAAAAAGCGGCTTCACAAGAAGGCCTTACTTTAAGAATGTCCTGCGCAAATAATAGGGCTTGACCTGCGCAGAATTCCACGCGGGACAAAAAGTATCATACCTTAATCCTAACGTATATGTAAATTATAGTCCTTATGTTAACTACAACCCTATCCTAGGCCCCAAAGCTGCAGTCAAAACTAAGCCTAGGT